CCGTAGCGGTTTTGGAGGACCCAGGATACAATATGATAGAGAGGCACAGAAAAGTGTAGGGTGGGGCCTAGAAGGATTCATGGGTCTTTTTTGAGGTGGAAGCAAGGAGAGAGGGTCAGCTGTTTTTTTCTCCTCTGCTTTCTTGATCTATCAGGTTTTTACCCCATTATCTGACTCCTCAGTTTCATTAATGATAGAACAATTTATATAAACATTCACATGGCTGTGTCCCCTGCTTGAGGAGTGGATTTCCTCCACCCAGATAAGAGACAGTAACAGCAGACCAAGGAAAACATCCATCCACAGTCAGCTCGGTGAGCCCTGAGCTCACTGATCCCTCACAGGAGCCTGGGTGAGTCGGGGATAACCACTGACAGGCACCCCAGTGCGCATGTCCGCTCACACAGCTTCACCACTGCAGCCCCTGCACAGCTCCCAGCAGGTCCACTCCAGTCTCCTCTCCCTCAGGAACTGCAGCTGGTTTAACCCTGAGAGGGAAGCGCTACATTGTGTCAGCTCCGTGAACCTGTAGCTTCTTGTTTCCTGAGACTCATCAGCTTCTCCTGGCTCCAGCAGGGATGTTTCAGTCCAGAGAAAAATTCACAGTCACCTCCCTGTTCTACAGAAGCTCCCGTTGTTAATGCAACCTCAGGCCAAGTGCTAGGCTGTCCTCCCCTCACACTGAGGTCACAGTCACCTGAGCTTTCCCCTCAGCAAAGCCCTCCCTCCCTCTCCCCGCCTGCCCTTCACTCTGCGACCCATGATCCTCCTTATGTTTATTTATTCAGTAAACATTTATTGGCTATGAATGCTCGCTGGGGCCCAGGCACTGGAAGTCAGCATCCCTCACAAGACAAAGATGGCAGCACCTTGACAGAGATTATCACCTTCTTGGTCTTCAGACACCTCTGCTAGGGCTCCTGGAGCTCCTGACTCAAAGTCACAAAGCTAGAAGAGAAAACTGCGGGGAGTGGAACCTCAAGCAGGAAATGGAGGATTTTCTATTTCTGGCGTTCTCACAATCTATTTCATGAAAGATTTATTAATTAATGTCTATGTGTGTTCTTCTTGCTTGTTTGTATTTGTACCATATGCCTGTCTGGTTCCCACAGGGGCATTGGATGCCCTGGAACAGGAGTTAAGGACGGTTATGAGCCATTAGGTGGGTGCTGGGATCTGAACCTGGGTCCTCTGCAAGAGCAGCAAGTGCTCTCAAGCCCTGAACCATCTCTTCAGTCCCTGGATCAAGTTTTTTTTTTTTTTGAGACAGGGTTTCTCTGTAGCTTTGGTGCCTGTCCTGGAACTAGCTCTTATAGACCAGGCTGGCCCCGAACTCCCAGAGATCCGCCTGCCTCTGCCTCCCGAGTGCTGGGATTAAAGCTGTGAGCCACCACCTCCCGGAGGATTATGTTTTTTTAATAAACATAAATCCTAAATAGACTCAGCCTGTAAATCCTTGAGTCTCCACTGGAGGCAGCACCAGGATTCCCAGAGGCAGAGAAGGAGAGGGAGAGGGGACCTTGGGCAGAAAACAGATCCAAAAGACAGATCTGAGATGAGACCCTGTGGATCCCTCCTCTCTGCCCATCCTACAACCTGGGTTAAATTCTGATAGATGGGAAAGAAGGAGAGAACCTCCAGGGAGGGGTCTGGAAGAAGGCAGGAGCTCAGGAGACTGAAGCTCACATCAGACCACAGTCTCCTGAGTGCAGGGGCCTAGTTGGGCCTTGAGGGGACACCTCCTACTGTTGTCACTCAGGGACCCCCACCACTCACAGGAGCAAGAACAGGCCTTGTCCTCCATACTAGATAAAAAGACAAGAAATCAACACAGAAGATGGGAAAGATCACAGCCAGGACAGCAGCCCTGATGGCTCATAATCCTGGGGACAGGACAAGGCTCTGGCCACGACAGTGTCCCTGTGATCACAGACTCTCATCTCAGCATATGGTTCTAAGTGATGAAGAGAACAGAACCAGGAGGTGACAGAGCTGACAAGTGACCTTGTCAAAGCCAATAAAGGACTGAGCTCCACCTGGGCACAGCCCTGTTCTCACTCAGCTCCCACAGCCTCATCCTGTCCCACCAGATGCACACAGCATAATGAACACAGATTCTGGGAGGTTCTCCATGATGCAATTTATTTCCTCCACAAACTCTACAATTTAATTCTTTATTTTACCTGCCAATCAACCTTTGAGATCAAGTGTTGTGAGGAGCAGTGGGCCACTTCCTGCCACCCGGCTAGCTTTACCTGAAATAATTACACGGAAACTGTATTCTTTTAAACACTGCCTGGCCCATTAGTTCTAGCCTCTTAATGGCTATCTCTTACATATCGATCTAACCCATTTCTAATATTCTGTGTAACACCACGAGCTGGCTTACCAGGGAAGATCTTAACCTACATCTGTGTCTGGTGGAAAAATCATGGCGACTCCTGACTCGGCTTTTTCTCCCAGCATTCTGTTTTGTTTACTCCGCCTAGCTAATTTTCTGTCCCATTAAAAAAGGGCTAAGGCAGTTTCTTTATTAATTAACCAATGAAAGCAACAGATTAGAAAGAAATCACTCCCACATAATTTCCCCTTTTTCTGTTTAAACAAAAAAGAAGGCTTTCATTTTAACATAGTAAAATTACATATAACAAAACAGTTATCAAGAATTACAGTTACAATATTTATATCTATTTTATCTCTTATCATAACTAAGGAAAACTATAACTATCTATTCATTCTTCAACTCCATCAAAGACTCCAGAAGGATATAAAACTACCTAAGTAAACAAGAAATAAGAAAACTCTAGAAATGACAGAAACATCTCGTTGCCTGGACAGTCACCCAAAGTTCCTCTGTACTGTTGGGGCATCCATCTTCAGCCTTCAGGCCCATAGTATCCAGCAGACATTTCCATGAAGCAGGAAATTCCAAAGACAGTTCAGTCACTTTCTTCTGTGTCCTGCAGAATGTCTCGTAGACTCTTTCATGAATCAGGAACCCCGAAAGACCATCTCACCTTTAGGCAAGTTCAGCAGTCCCCTCTCTGCGGGTTCTTTGTATCCAGTTTATGCAACAGTCCAGGCAAGAGCAGTTTCTTGCCCAAATGGCTATCAAACTCCATCAGGAGCCTCTTCGATGCCCATCTTCCTCTTGAAGTAGATTGGTGCTGCCAGGAGCAGATGTGTCTCATTGTCATGAAAAGCCTTAAGTTATTAAAACATCTTAAATGCCATATTCTATAACCTTTGAAAGATATGAAGAATGCCTATCTGAAATATATCTATGCATATCTAGAAAATCTAACTAACATGACTACAAGCTTGACTATTATTGATGATTATCTATCAACAACCTATATTTCCTAATTATACATTACATTTTTAAATGAACTACACAATCACAATACCTTAATCAATATCAGAAATACATATAATAAAATTGACCTTAAAATCCATACCAGTGCAAATTATTCATAACTATATCATATCCCCCTTTAAATGTAAAAGAACAGATATAAACAATATTTGGGAACATGGGCAGTTTTTTTCTCTCCAAACTGCTTCCTGCTGAATGGGGGTGCTGTTATTCAGGTCTTTTATGGGATAACCTGTCTGCTAGGTTCATCTCACTTGATACTTGAGCAAAGTAATTTTTTGAGGGTGTTCACAGCAACCTTTCAGGAGGGCGTGGTCTATCATACCAAATTGGGAGAGAAGAAATCCACAGGGTCTCATCCTCTGTGAAAACAAAAGAAGACCCTCTCCAAAGCATCATATCCTTAGACCCAAATTCTGAAGTCATAATACCCTTATGATATCCACTCTGGTTCCATTTGGCAGCCCATATAATGAAATGTCTCTCTGTAATTAGCTCCTCCACAGTCAAAAATTTTAAAGAAAACACAATAATCAAAGAATCCAGACTCTCTGTGAATTTTCCATTTTTACGTGGCTTATTTTTCTTTATTTCTCTTAATCTATAACTATCTTTACTCTGTCTCTTTAAAGACTTTTTACCCCCTTTTTTTTAAGGGCATTAACTTTATTCTCTCTATTTTTTTTCCTCTCTCATGCCTACGTACACTCGTCCAACATTGTGATCCATTGAAGTCTTTTATGTTTGAATATGTCCTATTGTGAATCTGTAATTTTTTTACTATCTAGGAGCACTTTGTTTTGCACTTTTAAATCGTTAAGCACTTAAGAATCTAAGCTGTGACATTCCTAGGTCAAAAACAGGTACTGCCTGCTTGCCCCACCCAGTCCAACATGGCAGAGCTGCTCATCCCTCTGAGCCTTGTACATTACATCGGTAGCATGGAGGAGCAGCTTGCATTGCGCAGTCTGAAAACACGTCTCTGTATGGCGGTAGGAATCTGCCATGCTCTTCCACCTGCCTAAGCCTGATTCTGCCTTCTGCCCAGGTGCAGGCGGGGAGCGCTGAGCCATCTGCAGGGTCTCAGAGCACTCTCCTTCCGATTCCAAGTGGGAACAGAAACATCCAGACCCATAAAAGCCATTGAAATGCTTTAAAGCCAGAGTTTGCAGTGGCGGCATAGACCCAGGAAGCCGCACTTTAAAATGACACAGCTTTTTTTTCTGCTGCTGTTGCCAAATCAGGAAATCTCTCTACAGCACGCCACCAACAAACAGCAAAAATCTGTGTTAAACTCTGTTTTTTCTCTGTTTAAAATTAAGCTCTCTCAGGTTTTACGTGAAGTTTGTTACCACGCTGGGCACCACTCTCATGTGCTGAGCAGTGGGCCGCTTCCTGCCACCCGGCTAGCTTTACCTGAAATAATTACACGGAAACTGTATTCTTTTAAACACTGCCTGGCCCATTAGTTCTAGCCTCTTATTGGCTATCTCTTACATATCGATCTAACCCATTTCTAATATTCTGTGTAACACCATGAGCTCGCTTATCAGGGAAGATCTTAACCTACATCTGTGTCTGGTGGAAAAATCATGGCGACTCCTGACTCGGCTTCTTTCTCCCAGCATTCTGTTTTGTTTACTCTGCCTACCTAATTTTCTGTCCTATTAAAGGGCTAAGGCAATTTCTTTATTAATTACCCAACGAAAGCAACAGATTAGAAAGAAATCACTCCCACATCAATCAAAGACACGAACAATCAAGTTTTCATTCAGATTCTTGCTGACAGAAGTATTCTCACCTTGCTTCCTCTGTCAACTCCAAACTCAGCCTTTCCTCTTCCGAGAATTCTGTTCTCGTTGCCACACTTCTATTTCCTGCCTGGTGGCCCTGCCCATACTTCCTTCCTGGCTACTGGCCAAGCAGCATATTATTAAAACAACACAAGTGACAGGGTACAGACCATTGTCCCACAGCAGAGTCTTATTCTTAGTGGGGAAGTCAGAGGCTGCAGCTCAGGGCAGCATGGAGGAGACAGGCTGGAGATGTCCCCTCCTGTCTGCAGGAACAGGAAGGTTGTCTGTGTATGGGAACAGGGCAGTGCAGGGACAGGGTCCTGGTGTGCAGGGTGTGCTGGGCCCCCAGTTCTTCACACTGACCCCATAGGATCACAGGGAACATCAGACACTATTACTGAGAGTGAACTGAGGGGCTCTGGATGTCACAGGAGAGACCTGAACACATCGTCTGTCACTCCATCCACACCAGGCAGCTGTTTTCACGCTACAGAACAAGAGTCATGAACAATCACTGTGAAGACAACATCCCAACAACCCACCACTCACTCAGAGGAGATTCTGGGGGTCCCTGAAACCCAATCATGTCCACTCTGCCCCTCCCCAGGTCAGGTCCCAGAGGGGTCACCTTTACAGTCCGGGAGGGACACATCGGAGCTCTGGGAACTGTCCCTGCCTAGGGTAAAATTACATATTAATGGAAAGGTAAAAACAGGGACTCCAGAATATTTTGGTGGAGCTATTATGGATTTCCAGAGCTCCCAAAAAAACCCAGCTTCAACCCAAAGGCTTCAGGGACAATCCTGCTCATTCCTCACACTTACTTGGAACTGGAGCATAGTTTCCTCCTTTTCCACCTGTGAGAAGAAAAGCTGTGAGAGACCAGGGAAGTTCCTGACCCTAGGAAGTTTCCAGAATTGACAGCAGACCCACGTTAGAGACAGCTCCACCCCAAGGGTCCCAGGGACAATCTTGCCCCCCCCACACTTACCTGCAACATAAGCATAGTCTCCTTTTATACCTGTAAGAAGAAAAGCTGTTAGACACCAGGGAAGACCCTGACCCTAGGAAGTTTCTAGAACTGACAGCAGACCCAGGTTAGAGACAGCAGCAATGAGGGTGTGGATGTGTTTCCCATTATAATGAGGCAGAGCACACGTCTAAAAGGGGCTGAGAGAGAACTCAGACCCTGCCCTTTCCTACCTGTGTTTCTCCTCCTCTTCCTCACAACAGCCACCACAGCTCCAAGGAGAACCAAACCAGCAATGACTGCCATGATGCGGACTGTGGACTTAGAAGGCTCTGGGAACGGAAGGACAGGAAGGGAAGGTGAGGGTCATGACCCAGCTCCCAGCCCTGACCCTGTTCAGGGTCTGTAGAAGGTTCCAGCTTTCCCTGACCCCAGCTCTGCACCCACTCCCTCCTTACCCCATCTCAGGGTGAGGGGCTCAGGCAGCCCCTCATGGTACACATGGCATGTGTATTTGTGTTCCTCCCCAGAAGGCACCACCAGAGATGCCCACTTCTGGAAGGTTCCATCTCCAGAAGGTCTGGTCTCCACAAGCTCCATGTCCTGAGTCTGTTCCTCCTCCTCCCTCTGCCAGGTCAGGGTGATGTCATCAGGGTAGAAGCCCAGGGCCCAGCACCTCAGGGTGACATCACCTTTAGGTCCAGGATGATGGGTCACATGTGCCTTTGGGGGGTCTGAGGGAAAGGGTTGTGAAGATGAAACATCTTGCTTTCTTCTGGGGACTCAGCAGTGTTCATGTGTCCATTCTGGGAATGGACAGGAGAACTGGACAGAATTAGGGTGTCCTGATATTAATAGACCCTAAATACAGCTCAGGCCCTGGGGTCATGTGCTCTTCGGGATGCTCTAAGATGTGAGTGACAGTTTGGGGTAGGAGGCTTCAGGGCTCTGCAGACTGATGGAGGGGAAGAGATTCTGGTCCTGAGCTGAGTGAGGGCCAGGAGACTCAGAAAAGCTGGAGTCAGACTCCAGAGACACCGAGGGTGGGGGCACAGAAGGAGGCCTGAGAGAAAAAGCTCCTGTGGTCCAGGGCCATCTTCAAGGCTGACCTGCTGTAAAAGCAGCCTGGAGTCTCTCTCTCTCTCTCTCTCTCTCTCTCTCTCTCTCTCTCTCTCTCTCTCTCAAAGCGACTATTGGTCTCCTGGTACCTGTGCGGAGCAGGGTCGCCTTCCCCAACTGCAGGTATCTATGGAGGCTGTCTATGCAGGGGCCCTGCAGGTATGCTCTCTGGTGGTCGGCCTCGTTCACGTTCTCTGACTTGAGTTTAGAGATCTGAGAGACCGCGTCAGTTGTAGTCCAGGATTTCAGGTCCTCGTTCAGGGAGATATAATCCCTGCCATCGTAGGCTTCCTGACAGTACCCACGGAGCAGGCGTCCATCTGGACCCAGGTCACAGCCATACATCCACTGCAGAGTGTGAGGTTCTGGTGGGGACACAGTCGTTAGCGCCACCTTGCGGCCATCCTGCCCGCTGTCAGTGCGTCCACAACCCGACCTTTCAGAATCAAAAGTGCAACCTAAACCTTAGCCAAACTCTGCGGGGTCTTTCCTGTTAGAGGGTCTGGGCAGGCGTTTGGACTCAGCCAGTGAAGATTACCAAAGCCTGTCTTAGGGGAGATGGAGGAGTCGTGTTTGTGATTGGGGCCGCGGTCACTCACCGTCTTCACTCTGATTGTAGTAGCCAAGCAGGGTCTTGAGGTTCAATTTGAAGTTCTTGCCTGTGTACCTGGCTTTCCGTGTCTCCCTATCCCAATACCCCGGCTCCTCCTGCTCCATCCATGGTGCCCCCGGCTTCACTCTTGGAGTCTCTGCATCGCTGTCGAAGCGCACGAACTGCGTGTCGTCCACGTATCCAACCACGATGAACCGCGGCTCCTGAAGGCCGGGCCGGGACATGGCGGTGTAGAAATACCGCAGGGAGTGCGAGCCTGGGGGAGGCCAGCAGTGAGACACCCGACCCTCTTTCTGGGCCCAGGATCCCAGGTGAAGGCAGGGGAGACACAGGCTAGGGCAGCAAGATACGTTTACGGGGTACTCCCCACCTGGCTTCCTGTTCCGTCCCACAGAGTCCTCCCCACCCCTTACTCACTAGCCTGTGTCTGGAGCAGAAGTATGGTGCTTGCCAACAGCTTGAGCCAGAAAGAAGACATGGTCTTCAGTACACGGACCTGTGAAGGGTGTAGATGCGATTTCTGCAAACTGTTGTACTTGGAACCTCTGTGTAACTATTGGTTTCTCTAGTAACTAGGTTTCCAATTGTTGGGTCCGGGGGGGGGGGGGGGGGGGGGGGGGGGGGGGGGGTCGTGCAAAGATGAAAACGTCCTCAAGTCTAATAAACCAGAAGCAAACTTTGTTCCAGAAACCAGATCCTAGGAAAACCAGAAGCAAGCTTAAAAACAAACAAACAAACAAACAAATAAATAAATAAATAAAAACACTGTGGGGCCCAGAAGCTTATCAGTTAGCTGAGACCACAGCCAGGGATGGTGCTTGTTAGGCTGTGGCAAAAGGCTAGTTTTTGAACCCACCTTTTATAGTAGGGGCACCAAGCATTAGGTCTGAACAAAGGAATTTTTACGATCTTGCCCTGATCAAAGTAGTAGGTCAGTCAAAGTAGACCCTAAGGAGGGGAGTGAGTGCTAATGTCAATGGGTAACTAGGAAGCCATCATGAAATATGTTTCAGAGTAGATTACAGCAAAAGTCACTAATTGCAAGAAAGCTGGTGTCTTTAGCAATTAAATAGAAAAGGGACTGCTAGTAATATCCTAGGGTTGAAAAATCAGAATAATTGGTTCTTAGGCTGGGAACTTAGAAGATAGCAGAAAGTTTTTCACACTATCTCAAGGTAAAACTCAGATACCGACTGCCATACTTTACAACCTCCATTCTCAGAGCGCATTAGTCAACCAGGTGTTTGCACCGTGGTCACTGTTTCTCCTGGTTCCTCCAGGCAGTGTATACTGAAGCCCCATGCCTCCCCTATGATGGTGCCAGTTTCCATAACAGAGACAGTGCCTAACCCAGAGGTCACGCATCTCTGTCTCCTAAGGGTTAACTCAGTTAGTTCATCAAGGATGGCCAGGACACTAAGTGTGCAGAGAGAAACTCCGGCCTTGTAAATAGAACAGCCCATTGTAAAATGAAATGACCTAGGCTGATGGAGGCTTCCCAAGCATCCAAGAAAATATCTCACTGTGAATGACTGATCCTTGATCTGCTGAGAAAGCTGCTGACAGTCTGTTCCCCTAGACTCATAACTTTATATTTCTTCATTTCTACATTCTTATTTTTGGAATGTACATTTCTATTTTCTTATTCTTGGACTCCTCAAAATGAGAACTGTGAGTTCATCATTTGTGTCTGGAGATCGGAATCCGATCAGAGTTGAAAGTGGCCAACTGGATACTGCCCACGCGCAGGAACAGTCCCCAAATCTAAAGCAAAACTCAGACACCAACAACCCCCTGCGGAATCTCGAACTGGGATCAGGGGATATTCGGGACCATTGGGGGGGGGGGGGCTGAGGCGTCTTGACCCCCGACCCGGAAGTCACTCACCGCCCTGACTCTGGTTGTAAAGTCAGGTTCTGAAGTCAGGTTCTGAAGGCAGGTTTGGAAATTCTGTCTGTGCTCCTGTGGGTCCCCAGTGCTCCAGCTCCTTCTACTTGCTCCACTGTCTGTACTCAGGGCTTAAAGGGCTTGAACTCCATTGTTGTCTGTGTAACGTGAGGCAATGAAAAGTGCTAGAGCAGGCAGGACGGCAGGACATAGCTGTGAAAAATAGGGAAGCAGAGCCTGGGAGCAGCGCGCAGTGAGATCCCGACCAACCTCGCTAGACAAACCTGGAAGAAAGAGAGCAAGATTGAAATCACCAGCAGTTTATACTTCCCAATCCAAACCACACCTTTATGCTCTCAGAACCTGAAAGCCACTTCTGAGGACTTGGGACTTTGTCCTGACTCAATAAAGCTCTCTGTCTCTCTCTCTCTGTCTCTCTCTCTCTCTCTCTCTCTCTCTCTCTCTCTCTTTCTCTCTCTTGATTTTTATTTAGCTCTAAAGTTCCCTCTGCTTGCCTTCCTGCCTCTCCCCTCCCCTTCAACCCAACCCTCTCCCATGGTCTCCATGCTCCCAATTTACTCAGGAGATCTTTTCTTTTTCTACTTCCCATGTAAATTAGATCTATGTCTGTCTCTCTTAGGGTTCTGTTTGCTGTCTAGGTTCTCTGGGATTGTGAATTGTAGGCTGGTTTTTTCCTTGCTTTATGTCTAAAAGCCATTTATGAGTGATTACATATGATATTTGTCTTTCTGGGTCTGGGTTACCTCACTCAAAATGATGTTTTCTAGCTCCATACATTTGCCTGCAAATTTCCAGATGTCGTTTTTTTTTCTGCTGTGTAGTACTCCATTGTGTAAATGTACCACATTTTCCTTATCCATTCTCCTGTTGAGGGGCATTTAAGTTGTTTCCAGGTTCTGGCTAAGACAAACAAAGCTGCTATGAACATGGTTGAGCACATGTCCTTGTGGCACAATTGAGCATCCTTTGGATATATACCCAAAAGTGGTATTGCTGGGACTTGAGGAAAGTTGTTTCCTAATTTTCTGAGAAATTGCCACACTGACATCCAAAGGGGCTGTACCAGCTTGCATTCCCACCAGCAATGCAGAAGTGTTCCCTTTCCCCCACAACCTCTCCAGCATAAGTTGTCATCGGTGTTGTTGATCTTGGCCATTCTTACGGGTGTAAGATGGAATCTCAGAGTTGTTTTGATTTGCATTTCTCTGATGACGAAGGATGTTGAACATTTCCTTAAGTGTCTTTCAGCCATTTTAGATTCCTCTGTTGAGAGTTCTCTGTTTAGGTCTGTACTCCATTATTTTTATTGGATTATGTGTTCTTTTGGTGCCCAGTTTCTTGAGTTCTTTGTATTTCGGAGATCAGACCTCTGTTTGATGTGGGGTTGGTGAAGATCTTTTCCCATTCTGTAGGCTATCATTTTGTCTTGTTGAACATGTTTTTTGCTTTACGGAAGCTTTTCAGTTTCGGGAGGTCCCATTTATTAATTGTTTCTCTCAGTGTCTGTGCTGCTGGGGTTATATTTAGGAAGTGGTCTCCTGTGCCAATGCGTTCAAGTGTACTTCCCACTTTCTCTTCTATGAGGTTCAGTGTGGCTGGCTTTATGTTGAGGTCTTGATCCATTTGGACTTGAGTTTTGTGCATGGTGATAGATATGGTCTATTTTCATTCTTCCACATGTTGATACCCAGTTATGCCAACACCATTTGTTAAATATACTTTTTTTCCTTTTGATATTTTTTGCTTCTTTGTCAAAAATCAGGTGTTCGAAGATATGTGGATTAATATCTAGGTCTTCTATCCAGTTCTATTGGTCCTCCTGTCTGTTCTTATGCCAATACCAGGCTGTTTTCAGTACTGTAGCTCTGTAGTAGTGTTTGAAGTCAGGGATTGTGATGCCTCCAGAAGTTCTTTTATTGTCCAGGATTGTTTTGGCTTTCCTGGGTTTTTTGCTTTTCCATATGAAGCTTAGTACCATTCTTTCAAGTTCTTTGAAGAATGAAGCTAGGTGTCTGTATAATTATGTAATGCAGCCTGGCGATGGTGGCGCACACCTTTAATCCCAGCACTCGGGATGCAGAGGCAGGCGGATCTCTGTGAGTTCAAGACCAGGCTGGTCTACAAGAGCTAGTTCCAGGACAGGCTCCAAAGCCACAGAGAAACCCTGTCTCGAAAAACAAAAACAAACAAAAAAAATGTAATGCATGATTTAAAAAATGGAACAACTAAATCAAGGGATAATTATAACTGGGATTGATGTGCTATTATTCATCATTTTGATAATCCTTGTTGTTGTTTTTACAGTTCTTGGTTTATCTCTTAAAAAGTTGTTTGGTATGGCTGCCAAGATACAGGCCTTAGAAAAACACACAGATGTTCAAATCCAAACAGAGGAATTTAATGGAGAACTAATTTCAGCATTGCATTGTAAATTTAGAGAGAAACAGCCTAAGATTTTCAAACAGCCCACCTTAATATATCCAGTAACCTGCATTTTTACAACGATCTTCATTCCATAGCCTACGTTTGTGTGAAGTCAGAGCATTGCTCCAATGCAGCTGTCACCCTTTGCTGCAGGTGCCTGGATGCAGCCCAGCAGTGAATGCTGCCCACAGTCCACGTGGTACTGTATAGACACTCCTATGGTACAGAATAATTAATAAATCAGGCACATTAACAACTGGGGTTGGAGAGAAGGCTCAGCAGGTAAGAGCACTGGCTGCTCTTCCAGAGGATTGGAGTTTAATTCCCAGCCCACACAGCAGTTCACATCTGTCTGTAGCCCCAGTTCCAGGGGGATCCAACACCCTCACACCAGTGTACAAAAAAAATAAATAAATTATTTTAAAAATGAAGTGAACAATTTCACAGGGCAGGTAATACCCTTCCCCCCAACATCGGCCGCCCTGCAGTCACACTGTTAGTAAGGAGAGAGGACTCAGGAGCTGATGAGAGGAGGAGATGGATGGGGCATGGTGTGGACAGTGGATCTGAAAACTCAGTTGGCCCCTAAGTACCTCTATAGTGATATTTTATGTGTGTTTTATAAAATAAAGCTTGTCTGAAGATCAGAATACAAAACTAGCCACACTACTAAGCCATACAGGCCAGGCAGTGGTGGAAGACACTGTTAATCCCAGCAACCACACTAGTTAGCCATAGTGGCCAGGTGGTGCTGATAGAGGCCTTTAATCCCAGCACTAGAGAGGAATATAAAATGGGAGGAGACAGGAGCTCAGGGTCTCCGTCTGCAGTCGTGCTGAGAACAGGATCAGCCAGCCTTGGTAGAGGTAAGAACTCTGCTGGTTGGTTGCTTTGCCTTTCTGATCTTTATCTTGAACACCAGTATCTGTCTCTGGCTTTCCATTATTCATCTACATCTGGTCATATGCTGCCAAGCTTTTGGGGTACAAATTCACAAACACACACACAAAAAAAGCCATTTGCCTGTGGCTTTGCAGCCACCGACACAGGCCGGAGCTACATGCAGCCGGAGTCACTGCCCTACCAGCTTGGTTTTCCTTTCTTCTCACCTGGTAGGCTTTCCCTGAACCCCCTTCTTGGGCTGCTGCCAAACTAGGCAGCTGCCTTGAAATTCAGTCAGACTTTTACTGTTCTATGCAGTAGCAATAAGAATCACCTCTCCATCATTATCAGGGACAGATTTAGTGAGAAAATTGGGAATTCTGTTTTTGTTTTTTGTTTGGTGTTTCGAGACAGGGTTTCTCTGTAGATTTTGAGCCTGTCCTGGAACTAGCTCTTGTAGATCAGGCTGGCCTCTAACTCACAGAGCTCCACCTGCCTCTGCCTCCTGAATGCTGGGATTAAAGTAGTGTGTCACCACCGACAGCCCTGTTTAAAATTGGGAATTCATAAGGGAGGAATTAGTTTTTTCCCATGTTAAAAAATAGGGAACGCAATTACAATAAAGCTAGGTCTCTGTATGATTATGTAATGCATGACTCAAAAATGGAACAACTAAATGAAGGGATAATTAACTGAGATTGACATACTATTATTCATCATTTTGATAATCCTTTTGATGTTTTGATAATTCTTGGTTTATCTCTTAAAAAGTTGTTTGATTTGACTGCCAAGATACAGACCTTAGAAAAACTTAATAACACAGATCACAGAGATATTCAGATTCAGACAGAGGAATTTAATGGAGAACTAATTTTAACATTGCTTTATATGGTTAGAGAGGAACAGCCTAAGGTTCTCAAACAACCAACCTTAATATATCCAATAATCTTACGGGAATTGCCAAATGTTAGAGGCTCTGTAAGAACTGACTGGACTCCTGTGCCAATGTCAGATTTAAGGAGATTCAAGAAAGCAATGGTCTCATATGGCATGTATTCACCTTTGGTAAAGCAATTGTTAAACTTGTGATCAGCTTGTAACAGAATTGTCTCTAAAGACTGGACAAACTTGGTTAAAGCTGTTTTAGAGCCTGGTCCACAGTCACAGAGGAGAACCTGGTTCAGAGAAGAGGCTAAGATTACTGAACAACAGAGTAAAGCTAGAGGCATGGTATGGAAATCTCCCAAGACCAACTTCCTGGAGAAAGAGACTGTGCTACCATAGAACAGCAATCTTTGTAGGATGACCATGCTCTGGCTTTATGCCCTGCAGCAGCTTTGAATGCTTGGGACAGAATTGGAGAAGTAGAAAAGAAAACTGAGTTCTCACCAGAACCCCAATCTGAGGCTGTGGTCCTGGTGGTTCACAGAAGGCATGTTTGGTTTCTAGAGCTGGGGACGGGTGGGGCAGGTGGATGGGAGGGGGCCAGGCTAGCAGGTCCCACTACTGGATCTTCAACCTGCAGGCCTCAGATGGGGGTCCTGGAGCAAAACCCCTGCTTTATTCATCCACCAAGAAACCATGGCAGAATGAAGAACTGTGCTCCTGGGCTCTGATGGGACCTGGGATCCACAAGCACACAGAAGCAGCAGCAGCAGGTGGACCAGTTGGCTCTGAGTTTGAGAGCCCATGGGAGCTAAGAGGTCCTTGGTGTGGCAATGGCAGGAAAACCAGAAGCCCTGGCCTCTGGAGTTGCTTGATGTAGTCAGACTGGTCTACAGAATTCTGGGATTGAACTGGAGAGGAAAGAGCTTCTTGGTTCTGGGAGGGAAAAGACAAGCTTTGCTACCAATTCTCATGTTGGTGCTCAGTGTCTTCTCAATGGAGCAACGAGTCACGGTGAGACTAGCAGCAGGACCTGATGGAGCCTCAAAGTTACTGGGATCTTGCTGTTCATGGCTCTTGGTGGCTCATCAGCAAGGTC